TTTGTATATTTAAGAGATTAGTAGGTCATAGTAAATCTTCTAAAGCAATAGAGAAAAAGTCTCTTCTTAGTCTATTCTATTTTCTATGTAATAATAATTAGTTAGACCCAAAGTAGTTATAACTCTGTTACATCTGTTAGATAACAATGATATTAAAAGTTGTATGAAGTTTTTTGTATATATATTCTTTCTAATACTTTGTATAGTATTAGCAGATATACAAAGTTAAAAGCCTTTGATATGTTTTGTAAAAGTATTCAGATTTCTTTTTTTTCTGTGATAAAGTGTTCAATAATGCTTGTTAATTGAGAAATTGGTTGAAGAGTTGATTGATACAGGAAAGCTACAAAGTTCTAGTAATTATAGGAATAAGTCTATTAGATAGTATTTTTGTAAAGACTTTTCTTGTATGTTCAATTAAGATAATAGATTTAGTTGTATTGAGATTATAGTTATATTGAGGTTTTTTTGATATTGGTCAGATATTTGAATCAGCTCATTGATTTGATATAGTTTGGAATAGGAGATAGATGTTCATAATATTTAGTAAGTATGAGATTGCAACTGATAGTAGGTGTTGTAGAATTTCATTAGAAATTCTAAGTAGACTAGTAGTTTTGTTTTTTGGTGCTATAGCAATTGTTTGTAAGAGATCTTCTATTTTAATTGAGACTATAAGACTATTGAATATTTGTAGTTATATATAACTTAATAGTTCATAGTACTGTTCCTATTCCTGCTAGAAGTCTTTATTTGTTTTATTTTCCTTTGTTTAGTTTTTAAAGTATTGTTATGTAGCCTCTTTGATATTGTTTGGTTCAGTTATTATTCCATTATTCAATATAATTTTTTTGAAGTTGACCTAGTCTGTACATTTCTGCAAGATACTATTTATCATTCTTGAAGTATTGTTTTTAAAGTTTAAATATCTATAGTTGGTGTAGAATTTGATTTTTTCATTCTGCTCGTTCCTTTTCTCTATATTGCATACTTGTTAGATTGTATATTTATATTCTTTAAGCTTATTAATAGTATTGTAATTGTTATTATTATATTCTTCTTAATTTATATTTGGAATAGTTAAGTTATCTAGTATTGTCAAAGTATCTAATGAAATATTTGGTTTAGTTGCTAATAGGTTTAGAGCCTTGTTAATATTTTTTAGAGCAAAGTATAGCTTTATTGATTTTAATAATATTGAATAGAAAGTTTTAGGTACTGTATATGTATAAAGAATATATTTATTAATAGTTTCTTTTATCTTTTAAAACTAGATATGCTAGAGCTTGTTAAGAGCAGTTAGATTGAAGCAGTTTTTCAAATCTGAAGAAGAGTTCATAAGTATATTTATAGTATTTGAAAATTTTTCCTAATTTTGTTCCTTTATCTTATTATAATAGTATATTCTCCTTTTCCATTTTTTGAAGGTGTAGTAAATCTTGTATACCAGGTTGTATTTATTATTTTGTGGTTACTATCTTAGATTCTAATTGTACTAGATAGTATTGGAGTATTTAGATCGAGTAAAATATCATTTGAAACACAGATGTCATCAATTTAGCTAATAAGGTCTTGTCATTGCCAAGTAGGAGAGATATATTATAGAATTCTAATAAACTTAAAAAGCTAGCAATTTGTAGTTTTGAAATATTATATATTTTTTTTTTTCTAGTATTAATGTTCATATTAAAATCTTTTATGATCAGTAAATACTAGTTTTTTGTTTTGATTTCTTCTATTTAGTTGTTTAGCTGCTTTTGTGTTCTTATTAGCAGATCATCATAGTTTGAAAGAAGTAAGTTGAGACTATACTGATATTGTTGTTGTTAAAGAATTAAAAGTCAATTTGAATTAATATTCTAGAATATATTAGAACATTTTTTATATATAGTATTAATGAGTAATATATCATTAGAGCTATTCCTAGACTAGTTTCTTTCTGTTGTTTTTGATAAGGAATAAAGTTAGAAATAAAGATTTTGTAAGTTTTTTTTTTTTTTTTTCCTATTAAGATTTATTCGTGTGTACATATCATTCTGTGATTAACTGCTGCTATACTACTAATGTCCGATTGACTTGGTACAACTTAACTTACAGGGTTACAACCCCAGAAACAGACAGAGTTTACTATAAGTTAGGTACAAAGGTCCAGGTAATTATTCAAATTCATCAACAGTGAGATTTGAACCCCAGACCTCTTGCATGATGTCTGACAATCTAACCACTACACTAAGATTACCAGACCTATTTATTTAATTAGTTAATTATATAAATATAATATTGCAAGTAGTAAACTATATTTCTTTTTTCTGTAGTTTATTTTTCTTAGTAAATTGAGATCTTTATTTAATTCAATTATTTATAACAGTTTTTTAATTAATTAAATTAAATAATTAAAAAAAATAGTTATTAATAAATTTTATTTTTGAAATAAAGTATTTATTTATTATTTATATTCTGATACTAACTATTTTTCTTTTTACATTTTGCAATCATATTTTTAATCAAAATATATATTGTTATTTATCAGCAAATACTTTCAGATAGTTTTATTTTTTTTATTAGCCATTAGTGCTTGTTACTTATTCAAAAATTTCTAATTACTATTACTATGCCAATGATTTAAGTGATTAAAATTATAGCAAAATAATTATAGTAATAATTATTTTGCAAAAGAGAACTATGATACTTTTTATTAATTTATTTATTTTAGAGAAGATGAAATACTAATTTATAGTTTTCTTAAAGAACAGATATAAGAGTTTGAATATCTATCTTACAACTTAAATGAAAACTAAACTCATCAAATACTTTAACAATAGATAATTTTATTTTTTAATAAGTTGGTAAGTAATATCTATTATATCTATATTATTAATTTATTATATAAAATAAATATTAATATCTATTATATCTATATTATTAACTTATTATATTTAAAATCTAGTTTGCTTTCTTATTCCTGAATTTAGTACTATTTGAGATACTTCTAAAATATTTTGACTAGTTATATTACTAATTGTAATATTAATTCTTGCAGCTCTTACTCTTTCTATTTGAACAGCTTATCTGAGTATTATTTGTAAACTGTGAATATCTTGACTATCTTTTTCTTTCTATTCTGTAATAATTAATATAAGCTCTTCTTTTACTTTATAAATTCAAAGCTTTTATTGTCTAAAAAACTAATAAAACTAAAAGAATTAGATTCTTCAACAAAAGAATTTACAAACTGTAATATAAGATAATTATTATTACTTTCTTTTATATAACTAGAGTTAGAACGAAACCTATTAAGAATAGCAAAAATATGTTTATATAGCAATTGTCATGTTTTGAAATCATGACAATTGCAAATATATAAGAATATATTTAAATTGTTATTACTATTAACTGAATTTTTTTTTTGAACTGAATATTCTATGTGATCATTTGTTATAGAATGCATAATCTAAATATCAGAGCTAATACTATATATTATTTAGATTAAAATTTATAGTTTCTATAATCTCACAAATTCATTGTTAGCATCTTAGTAAATTTATTCTGCTAACTTTTAATTCATTCAAGAAAGCTGAAAATTCTAAGTCTTAAAGTACTGTTTTTATAAGAAGATATACTTCACTATTAAGTTATCATTCTGATCATCTTCTCATATAAATATATTTTAACTTATGATAAAATACTTCAATTAAGTTATTTGTATTTATTATTTCTCTAGAAATTCTTTTTAGACATATTATCTACTTGTCATATTTTAGTTTCCACCAATGCTCAAAGTAATCAGTGAAGGTTTTTATTATATTAATATTAAATTGTCACTATCTGATAATTGCTTTAGTAATTTGTTTTCTCGCTTCTGCATCATTTCACTCTTCAGTTTTCATTAATTGCCAAAGATTATTTCAAATAGTTGCCTTATATTTATCAACATTAGCACCAGAATAGTAGTTTAGTTTCCTGTACTAAGACCTAAAAAAAAAATTGTTTTCAATATAAATATATTAAAAAAAAATTTTATTTTAACATACTAAATAAAAAAATTTTTTTTAAAAATGTTTTTACCTTAGTATATGAAAATAGTATAATAATACTGTACTGTTAGTAAATATTTCTTTAACAGTTTTTATTTTCTCTTTAGTATTATCAACTATAAAAATATCAGGTTTCTATTCTTTATTTTTTGTTTTAAAAAATTAAACTACTTTATTAATATTACTGTTTTTTTATATTTACTAATTAAAAATGCAATTAGATATTCACTTCCTACTGTAAGGTACTATATAATAAGTGTGAAAAGGTAATAATCATTTTTATTTATCCTGTAAGTACTATCTAAGCATATAATTCTAGCCTATTATATAATTTCTCTTTGTTTTTTTGTCTGAAAGGCGAATAAAAATCTTATATCAACTGCTTTTAAATTTTTTTTACTACTACATTTATATAAACAATATTCACTAATACTAATTATCTTATCTTTCTATTTATCCAAGGATTTTATTTCATCCTTATCAAGGTAAATGCAAGTTTTTATTATATCATGTATAATCATATAAATATCCTCTTTTGTTATTAACTCATTTCGCAGTTTTTGAATATTTTGAGAAAAATTATCTGTTTCTAGTGACTGAATTTAATTCTTAAGCTCAATTGCTCAAAAATGCAAGAGCTGTTAAATATTAAAAGTATTAAATCCTTCAAGAGCATGCTAGTGAATGAATTGGTAAATATTTTCAAAAAGAAGAAGGATGCATAAATCTAATAGTTGACTAGAATAGTGATTTATATGTTTATAATAGTAGCATAGAATTACTATTATTAACTTAACAGAAAGCATAATATAGATATAGCTTTTACATCTATATTTTTTTGTTTCTTTTTATACTAATCATAGCTTTTTTGTAGTATCTTTTTTAGCAGTGTTTTCATATGTCCTATAGCGATAGTAGTATCACCTTTCTGACTATTAGTTTTTTTCTTAAGCTGCTAGTATGTCATTAATAGTTATGTTTATTATAACTAAGCCTAGCTCTTTCTAGATTTTTAATCCATTCTTTATATTCTTCAACTAAAAGATAGTACATTTTGAACCTTTTTGTTTCTAATAATTCTTGTTGTATTATATTATTATCTTGTCTTTTTTTTATTTGACTAATACTATCTGTTGCATCTAAGATTTGGTTAAGTATATCATCAAGCCTATTATTACTACTATTACTAATATCTATATTTTTCTCTTCTTCAAAATCAAAAATTATATTAATTCCTGATAGTAGCAATATTATTAAAAGCCTTTACAAAGTTTAAAAAAAATGTAATATTTCTTATATTAATAAATAGATATTGAAATTATAACTAATATAAACTTAATAAATAAGTTAGAGTATTTTATAAGGTATAAGAATAGATTGAGTCTTTAATAATACTCTAAGACTATTGTATCATAAATTATGATTATAGTTGTGCAAAAAAATATTTATAAAGACAATTGCAATAGAGGTAAAAGTAAACTTTTATTATTATTTATTTAGTTAAAAGATTTAGATACTAATAAATAACTTTATTGTTCAAAAGTTTATTTTGTAATTTGAACAAAAGTTTGTCTTTACATATATTATTTTATTATGATTTATTCTACATAATTATTTCCATAATATTGATTTAGTCTATCTTAAATATAGATTAAATATTATTTATTAATTATTTTTTTCTATTATATTAACTAAATCTTCACTACTATATTCATATTATTTGTCTAATTTGTAAAATCTGTAGGATCTGCATAATATTACTATACTGGCTACATGAATCTATAGAAATACATTCTGACAAGTGGGTTTATAAAATTTTAAGTAAATATGTTATAGTTGTTCTCATAAATTCTGAGACACCTAAAAATTTATTTATTTTCTGAAATTTTTTTGGTTTTATTCTATAAATTATCTAACTCTTCAGAGAATATATTGCTATCTTCAGAACTTCAGTTTGGAAGCAGTGATATAGTCTTCAAAGAGTTAGCTAATTCACAAAATGAAAGTGAAAGATTTTAGGAAATGAATAAATTTTTAGATGTCTCAAAATTTATGAGAACAGCTCTAATTAAATAAACTAAAAAATGCTATTTTAAATTCGATCTTTTTTTTTTTCTTTTAACAGTCACGCTTTATGCATTTATTAGATAAAGAGTTACAGATGGCTAGTCTGCATAAGATTTAACTTAAACAAGAACCTATAGTCCCTCCCTAT